CTGTCAAAATGGGAGATTAATATTTTAAATGCTGAGAGAAGCCAGCAGCTTGTTCCAGTCTCTGACTCAGTTAAGCTCTTACAATATTTTGACTGCTTGTAGAAAATTAATAATGGGATGTTAGGCGGTAGATGAACTGAAACTAAATATCAACACAGCTAGATTTATTTTTGGATGACTGAGCTCATCCCTTCAAAGAACAGAAGCAGGATTCATTATATGATGAGTTATTAACTTACACAACACCAGAACGGCCCCCAGACGGAGCAGAGAGCCACAGCGCAGTCCAACATTACATAAGAGGCTTGAAGTCGAGCTGTCACATTAGCCAGGATTTGGAGCGTGCAGGCCACAGCTGATTACCAAGGCTCACAGAGACACCAGAAGTTAAGCCAATAACTGTCCCGTTGGTTTCAGGGTCAAACTAGTTGCCGATGCCTTACCCCGGCTCTGCCGAGTAGCCTGAGAGCAGAGCCCTGTGCCCGGCCAACAAGACAGGTGCTCTGCTCTCTGCCTGGCGTGTATGCATTCAGGCAACGTGTACTGAGCACCTGCAAGTGCTTGTCCTCCCTCCCCTCCTTTCCCGTCTCATCTCTGATGTGTGCTCATCCTGTAGGCCTCGAGGTGAAGAAGATTCGAACTTGTCCTTATGGGTCCAACACCACCTGGGCCTGAAGGTGATGCTCCTGCTTCTGATGATGCTTCCTGGCCAACAGTGAGAGGCTGGTTAGGCTGCAGATGAGCCAAACTGACCTCAGCTTCCTAAAACGGAAGCCTCCCAAGTGTCAGTTCGCCCCTGCTCTCCACACCACTTCTGCACTACAGAGACTGCTGGTGATGGCTCTGGGCCCTCACGTTGCAGATCACCATCATGCATCACACAGGCTCTCCGCTGCCTGCACCGGCGGCTTGGGGAGGGAGGACACCAAAACTGGCCTTTGTCCATGGTCTGTCTGGCTGGAGTTCAGCGGCTTCTGCTGTTTCCCTTCCAGACAGATGCATAAGCAATTCGAGAACCCCTCTATCCTCATTCACCAAAGTCAAAGAGATTCTTAATAGCAATGAAGTCCACGGAACATGCTATTGAGGAACAAGCCTGGTAACAGGAGCCACTTCTGGGCCCGTCTGGGTCCCTGGGTGGGGGCTACGTTGTCATAGTTCACCATGTGGGTGGCTCCCAGGAAGAAGTACCTCCCTCTGCTCCCTCCCATCTCCCTAGCCCAGGCATGGACTCACACAGCCTCCATGGCTTGTACCAAGGCTTGGGGCAGGAGACTGCAAATTCAACCCCAGCCTTGTGAGACCCTGTCCCAACAGAAAACATTATTTAAAAGGGTGCAGGATCTAGCTCAAAATGAAGGTACTGGGTTTTTCCTGGGGCAGGCATGCATGTGCGTGTGCGTATGTTGTGCTGGAATGCTTACAACAGTATTATTTGAGAGCCTACCCTGGAAAGAACCTCAACATATCTTGACAGAGGAAGAATAAAGTGGGGTCCAGAGTGAAGTATTAGGCAACAATGAAGATGACCAAACTAACAGATGCAACCAACCGCAAGACCCAGCCCAAGACACAGTGCACATAGTGGGTGCTCTTTTTATAAAGCTCTGATTTGGGACACTTCCAGATGCACACACATGAAGCAAACCACACTGTGAGAGGGAGAAAGGGGGCAGCCCCCGGCCGGAGGTGACCTCAGGGGGACAGGCAGGGGTCGAGGAGAGGCACACACTGGCTCTCTTCTGCTTCTCAAATCACACGGTGAGCACAGGGGTTTATCTGAGCTTTATAATTTACAGATCATTCCATTTATTTCTTTGTACCACTCAAATGACATAAAAATATTTAAGAAAAAAGAAAAACCCCAAGCCTGCAGCCTGGCAGTGCAACTTTCTCACACCACCACTTGAGCTGTGCTTGTGTCTGAGCTAGGCTGGGTCCCAGAGGCAGGAGCCTGGAGAGAGGCCGACTTTCTCCTTCCGATGAAGACAGTCAGGGCTACTACCTGAGGCGGCCAGGAGGACCAGGGGAGATGAATGCGATGTTCGCCTATCACTGCGCAGACCGCTGCTCTCTCTTGCCCTCCGCTCGAAGGCCTCGACAAGTCATTTGGGCCCTTGGGCCCATAAAGGACACTGTCCGGTTCCAAGTCTGGTGCTACTCTGGTTTCCATCCCCCATGGCACAGCACCTGTCATTATGAAACCACACCGCAACACCAAAAGCCAGCTTTTTCCTTGCTTCTGTGAATTAGGCCAGGTTTCTGCTGGCTGCACATGGGAAAGGCACAAGCACAGTGCTTCTTCAGCCTGGGGGGTGGGTCCTGGGACAAGGCAGCTCTGTGGCTGTGTCTGGTCCTGCTCTACCAGCCTCAGTGGCTGCTAAAGCCACCCAGAACACATCGTGTTCCAGACATTCCAGAATCACTTCCAACTCTTGCCCGTACCCTCTGTCCTGCTGCTGTGCCGATGGTCCGGGTGTCCACTGACATCTGGGCACGAGGAACAGGCGAGGTGGTGGGGAGGTGGCAGCTGTCGGTCTGGATTTCCGTCACAGGACCTGGAGTAGCAGTAACAAACTGCCTAGAGACTCACAGCCTAATAAAAACACCACTTTCAAAAGCAAAAGCCAAACAAAGTGATTCTATTCCATGTGTGACCACCCAGCCGGCCATGTGATTCCGAGCGCAATCACCCCCTTCTATCCCTGTAAACAGGCACCGCTGGCTGTGAACGCCGTGTCACTGAACACAGGTAAGAATCAGCAGCTAGAAGCACACAGATCTGAATGAGCCCCTGTGAGGAATGAGCTACAACATACAGGGGCTCTTTCCTTGAACGGCACCCCCGGTCCCCCATCAACCCTCAGAACATAAACTCCGCGGGAAGCACCAAGATGCCGCGCACAGGTGCGGTGCACCGGAAGCCCGAGTTCTCAGGAAGAACCCTAAGGTGTCTGGCCTGTCTGCTGACATCCCACTCAGTCCGCTCACTCCCTTCATGCCAGATTCCCACCCTCACCGTGAAACGGAAGCCCAGTGACCCAGAAGTAATTTGAACAAACCTATTTCACAAAGGACACTTTCATTTTTATCTTCATTAACTCTCTTGTCCCTATCAAGTATGCTGAAAGCATGATTCATGCTTTGGCTGGGGTCTAGAGGACGTTAAACGTAGGCGATGTGTACATTTAATGGAAGCAGAAAATACTTCATGCTTTGTAGACAGATACCTTTATAGAAAGAAAACTTTCTTTTCTATCAAAAGAACGCATAACACCTTCTCTGTACTTTAACCGAAAGAATTTAAATAAATAGCAATGTTTAAAATTTAAAAAGTTCTATAGTAAAAGATACACCACCATTAATCCCCTTCAAAATCCACCCCTTGCTTCCAAGCCACTTATCCTGTTGTTCGTCTTGAAGTCTTTTCTGTGTCTTTACCAGGTTTGATCAAAAACAGGGTGACAGGATCGGGGATTTAGCTCAGTGGTTCCAGCTCCTGCCTCGCAAGAGCAAGGACCCAAGTTCGATACCCAGTACCAAAAAAAAAATGGGTGAAGGCTGCTGCTGAACGTCATCCAGTGGGAAGGCAGGCTCATAACCATGGTGCGTCCTCATTCACCAGATGTGGCACTGTGCAACTCCTGGCTCTTCCCAGTCAAATAACCATGAAAGGGAAATGTGTTTTTTGTTTTTTTTTTAAATGGTACTGAACTCAAAGGACCTTGTACTTGCCAGGCAGGTGAGGTGCCACTGAGCTACATACCTGGCCCGAGGGGAAATGTTTTGAATGAATTCAGGACGTTAAGACTCTCATGAAAGAGAACTTCTAAAAAGTGGCAAGGGTGATGGGATAAGCATGTTCAAACCAACCTGGAGGATTTTGAGGGAGATTCTCAGCCAGGTGTCTTCTCCTGCAATAATTTGGTGTGTGTGTGGGGGGGATTTAACCATTCACTGTATTTTTTTTTAAATCATACCTTATAGTATGATCTACCATTTTGGGTCTACTGTATTTCCAAAACATACTATCTTTGGTGAATTCATAAAAATACAAACATCAGTGGAGCACTTGTGAGGCCAAGCTGCTCAGAGCAAAGCCAAATCAGAAAGAACAGAACCAGAGGTCATCGGTGACTCAGAAACTTGCTTCATTTATGTGATTTTTTTTTTTTTTTTTTTTTTTTTTTTTGG